TGGTCCACTTCTATGGTCCACTTCTATGGTCCACTTCTATAATCTGAAGCCTCACATGCGGGGATGAGATGAAAGTCAACCATAAACAGCCCGGCAGCAGCAGCAGCAGCAGCAGCAGCAGCAGATTTGTAAAAAGCAGTGGAGCTTTCAAAAGCCGCTGCCTGTCAGTTTTTGTTTAGTCTGTGGAGTAAAATGACTCCTGGAATCCTGATCCCTAAACTTCCCGAGGAAGTTCCTGACAGAAGAAAAGAAGAAGTGAAGCTTTAAGTCCAGAAAAGTCAAAGCAGTGCAGGCACTTTACCTCTGAGTCAGAAGTGAAATGCCTGAGAATAAAAGAGCAGAAAGTGCTTTAAAAACATTGACTTTTTTCCTCCATAAACATCTTTTAGGTCCTTTAAAGAATTCCTCCACGTTTCTTCTTCTCCCCAGAATCCTATTCAAGGACAGTGAGACTCACAGCAGGATTCAAGTTAAATAATAATAGCCAAGGACACGTTGAGCAACAGCACAGACATAAGTTACTCAGGAAGTAATTCAAATCGTAAAACAGTGAACTTAAAGTTAGCCTGGAAATAAACTTGTATTTGCTCAAAGACAGGAACAAATACCAAAGGACGTAGTAAAACCACGTAACAAATAAAAGATGGCATGGATGTTATGGCTGAAATAGAACCAAACCTGTCAACAGGTGGAAATATATCAATGAAAAACACCAGCTAAATATTCACAAAACAAAAGAGCTAAACCTGAACAGGATTAGCATAATCAGAAAAGATTGACCTGAAAACCAGCAGCATTTTTGTTCAAAAAAAAAAAAAAAAATCCCACGGCAGAACAGAACCGAAATTGTTGAAACAAACAACAAAGTGTCTCCACAGAAGAAACCTCGGAGCCCAGTGGTAATATTAGCTAAAAGACATTTCTGATATTTGATAAGTGTCCTGTAGATGACCCAAAGTGTCCAGGCATCATATTCCTAGGAATAATAAAATTCCCACCCTGGTTGATGTTGACCATTTCACCTCCACTGTCTGAACAGGTTTTTCAGAGAAAAAAATTGTTCCAAAATTTATGAAAACTATTCCCTGGAGGTGATGTGGAGACACCAAGTCCAGACGACCTGAGAACACGATGCTGCTCCAGAAGAAAACATAAAAACAGGACAGCTCAAGTTTCTGCAGACAGATTTTTGTTTTTGAAATAACAACAATAAGACAAAGACGAGGACGATGCTGCTTGAGGAGACGAGTTGTCTGATGTCTGAGCCTGTGTTTAGTTAAAGTTTCTGATGTTCTATGTTGTTTTCAAACAGAGAATGAAAATGAACGTGGACAACAGAGTCTAGGACAAACTAAACTAGTTGTCTCCATTTCATAAATATTAACGGTGTCTTACCATAAATAATCAGACTTTTATTTTGAAACTCCAGGATTGCGGTTAGTTAGTTAGACCAGTGGTTCTCCAACTTTTTATACTCTGTAGAAAACATTGAGCTCATGTACCACTGGTGGTACGCGTACCACAGTTTGAGAACCACTGAGTTAGACCATTGAGAACTTGGACTTTTATTCTGAAAGCCATGCAGATTTAAACTCACCACGACCTCAGTTCAAAGGTCAGTTGAGGATGATAACAGCATCACGACCTCAGATGACTACTGCTCTTCCTCTTTCCCCTCCTCATCCACCTTCTCCTGCTGCACTCCGATTGGATAATCCTGGATTTCCCACCTGTCACGGTGACAAAAAAAAAAAACTGCTGCAATTTTCAAAACTTTGTCCAATCTGCTGTAACACAAACTCCATTTGCTGATTAACCACGTCTTTTTTCTGGGCTAAAGTGTGTTAGCTGGGAACATTACTGATGGGTTTAATCTGTGAGGGTTCAACCTCCAGCTGGACATGGTCCAGGACCGGGTCGGGTCAGGTCAGGTCAGGTCAGGTCAGGTCTCAGCTGGATCACACCACCTTACCTAACCTGGAGCCCTGAGTCATCCCAGTGACCAGGACTCGGCGTCTACAAACCATGACAGTGTCACTGTAATCTGCTGCTGGATTAAACTTCCTGTCAGATTATCTCCATGTCAACACACAGAGAAGAGGCTGATGGACGTCAAGATAAAGGACCAGAAATGACCGGCCACTGTTTGGCTAACTAGTAGTTTCTTTGGGACAAACACACACACACACACACCCACAGTTAGGTCGGCCTTTTTGTCCCAGACTGACGTCATCGTCCACAGTGATGACAAATTTCCGTCACGTCCTCGTTGAATTTGTATTTATTTTCTCTAATGACAGTGATTTCCTTATCTTGTTTTCATTACTAATTTTTATTAGAACTTCCTGTTTCCATGAACTCTTTTGATTCCGGTGGTCAACTAAACAAACTTAAAGGAACAACAACACTGTTTTTCTTTCCTTCTTTTCTTTTCGTTTGTTCCCTTTCCTTCAGCTCACCTCCCTCCTTCTTCTGATACAAAATTTCCTCCTGTGTCCACTTTGTCTTTTTCCTATTCCTCTCAGACCTCTTATATGACCCGCCCTCCTTCACACCTTTATCCTCCTGGACTTGACCTTTGGACTGATTCATCAGAGGAGGGGGCCACTGACCTCCTGAACCCTCTGAGCCTCCCCTGGCCCTTCTACACAGGTCATCCTTAGTTGACTCCATATTTAAGGTTCCACTGCACCACTGTATTCTCTCTGTGGAACAGCTTTAGTCCAGAGCGGGGTTTGGAGATCGGCTCCGTCCAAAACCACAGACTCTCAGAAAAAGAATGACCGGGCCAGGGAACATTGGACAGGTTGTGCAGCGGCAGGAAGCAGACTGCACGTGCTCGTCCACGTCACCTCATCATTCCTGAACACGAACACATGTTTCCCTTTGAAAAGCACTTCAGAGCTGAACATTTCTTCATCCAGCATCAACATTCTGACAGGAGCTGCTGTGAAACTCTGCCAAAGACTCCACCAGGCTCGGTCCTGCCGGACAAGACCGGGGCGTGAGGATCGTGGGTAAAATAATCGGAGCAGAGAAAGGTCTGTGTTCCCACAAAAAAGAGTGAATAAAAGAAAATCAGTTTGGTTTTATAGACGTAGGAACCAGAGACTGAGGTCAAACGTCAGAGAGAGAGAGAGAGAGAGAGAGAGAGAGAGAGAGAGAGAGAGGCTGTAGCTCAGTAAAAAATGAGGTCAAGGGTCAGAGAGAGAGAGAGAGAGAGAGAAATACCACAGGTTTATATCTCACTGTTATCCAACTGTTGGGATCAGGAGCAGCCTGAGTCTGTGAACCTCTCACTCTGGTCCACAGACAAAGGTCCACAGACAAAGGTCCACAGACAAAGGTCCACAGACAGTTCTCAGCTCACGGTCACAGCAGCTGCTGGTTCACTTCTCCATCATTATTACCTCAGTCACATTATTATATTTACTCAGTGATAACATCTGAACCCTATTGGCCGAACCCGTCAGAGACACTGTCCACACACAATTAAGCTTTCATCACACACACACACACACACACATACACACACTCTCCATCTCTTTCTCTCCCTGAACTTATCAGATGTTACACACCATGTCTGGAGACACACACACACACACACACACACACACACACACACACACACACACACACACACACTGGCTCCAAGTTTGTTTATAAAACAATAAGTTACATTCAACTTCAAATGAATGAAATCTTCAATTTTTTAAAGTTGTAACAGTTGTAACAGTTGTAACAGTTGTAACAAACAAGACAAGACAAACATATGTAGCGAAATAAACAAAATTACAGACCAGTCAGAGCACAAAGAGACAGAGGGAGACACATACATCTGTGAAAGGACAGAGCTGAAACGTAGCTCAAAACACGGCAAAATGTTAGCCGTAAAAACCAATCAAAGGAAAGTTATCACCTTTAAAATAATCAGAAATGACCCTTTAAAAACAACAACGTCTCCTGAAACATCAGCTGAGTGAGTGGTGAGGAGGATCTCCAAAGATCGGCCCTGATGACCACTCAGTGCCCCGCTCAGCGACCCGCTCAGCGACCCGCTCAGCGACCCGCTCGGTGCTCTCGGGTTTCTCACTGCAGCAGTCTGGTGCTGCGGCGCCCCCGCCCCCCCCCCCCCCCCCCCCCCCCCCCTCCTCCCCCACACTCGGACGTGGACTTGATCATGGTCCAGACCTTCAAAGTAGTGGCTGCTGCAGCAGCTTTGAAACCTGAGCCTGAATCAACCTGAACTTCAAAAAGGTGTCGTAAAAACGGAGATAAGTGTATCCAACCTGTTCACATCCTGATCTCTGCAGAGTTTATGAGAGTTTTTGTCTCTTTTCACAATGAATCAGGACCAGAACCTCTGACCTGCTGAACTCTGTGACTCCGGCCTTCAAGAAGCTCCAGGTTGACTGAGCCGGGGGACGGAGGACTGATAAGGACAAACCAGTAAATCAGACGGCAGTCCTGGAAACTGGATTGGACCGGTTCTCCCTTAACAGAAAAAATACAAAGATGTTCTTGACAGAATCAAACATATGGAGTGGCTGCTTGTCTATCGCCTCCTGTGGAGAGTTTGTGTCACTGATTTGACAATTTGTGATGGAGGTGGATCAACATTAGCTGTTTTGAAATTCCTACTTGTCTTAAAGGACTGTAACAGTGACGTAACAGCCTCAACGCTGATGTGACGTGGACGCCATGTTGTCATGGTGACGTTTTCAAACAATTCTCTCATCTCTGTCCTGATAAGGTCTAAAAAAGTCTGTGACCTTTTCCACTCTGGGAGTGTGAATCAGCCAATGGGAAAGCTGCATGAAGACTGGGCAGGGCTGAATATCCAGACATTAGTGACCTGTCAGAAGTATGCAGTAGAGCGCCACCTGTCATCAAATTCATCTCTGTGAGAGACTTCCCAGTAGAACGTTAGTGCCAACATCTGAGAATAAAATTAGTTTCACTAATTGAAATGTATAAAGTACTGACTGTGGCTCCAGTAACGTCTGTATGGCAGTGGTTAGATTTCCCGGTAACCACAGGGGGCAGCAGTGGACCAGTGAGCTCAGACCTCCGACTTCCTCCCAGACTTCTGTACGACAGTGCTCTGCTGAACTTGCGTCGTGTTTTTTCCCTGGGTGACAGCTGTGTTATTGTGTCTCCTATCAGCTCCTCATTTCCTCAGCCTTCAGTCCAGAGAAATTCCAGCCTGTTCCTTCAGACACAACCAAAAAAAAAGAGAAAAACCCACCGTGACTGTATGAGAGTGTAACTAAGGGCCGGGTGTGTTTTCTGATTTAATGAAAGGTGTGGATGTCAGAAAAGGTTGAGAGGAAATGCTTGGATCTGTGAGGTCTGCTGTGAATTACAGCCTGGAGCTCCTGGAGCAGACGCAGGTTTTCCTCAGGACCAGGACCAGGACCGGGACCAGGACCAGGACCAGACTGGACTGCAGCAGATGACGCTGTGTCTCAAACATGTGTGTGTGTGTGTGTGTGTGTGTGTGTGTCTTATTGGCCGCCGTGTTTTCCAGACAGATTTTTGTGGAATGCAGAGGAAGAGTGAGGAGACAGACATGGCTGCTGAGAGAGGGTTCCAGCCCAGAGGTGAAGAGTTCAGGTCGGACCACTCTGATGTGTGTGTGTGTGTGTGTCTTTAATCTGTCAGCTCAATAAGAAATGAATTCATCCACACAGGAAAAGAAAACATGGGTTTGGAATTATGAAAATATCCTGATGAGGAACTAATATCCAGGAGGAGTTTACACTAACTCTCAACAAACAACTAAAAATGTGGCCATAAATTAAAACCTACCTGCTGAAGGTCAGCCGACACTCAGATAAGGACACATGTTTCATGTAGCTGTTGCCTAGCAACAAATAGTGAAAATACTGCTTAAAAAAAGCCAAAACAGAAATAATTCACAAAACAGACAAAGAGGAAAAATTAGAAAACTTAATAAAACAACATCAAATAAAGTAAAATGCAGCTTCAGGACAGCACATATACAGTAGTATAAACATATATTTATATATATTTATATATAGACAAAACTGTACAAACACCATGAACTGTATATATATTTATATTTTAACTGCACAACAACAGTTTGTCAAATATATGATTTAAACGGAAACAAATGTCTACAGTGGGGTTAGAAGGCTACGATGTTTAACAAGAGATTCTAAAGGACCATCAGCACCACCTAGAGGTTTGGAGGGACATAACTGCGTTCCTTGGTAAATGGGTTAGAACTCTGCTCTGAACATTACATTGACTTGTTCTCTTCGTTCCTCCTTCCTACACTCCTTTTCTTCCTCTTCTTCCCTCTTCCTCTCTTTTTTCTTCTTTTTCTTCCTTCCTTGCATCATTTTGCTTGTCCTTCCTTCCTCCCGTGTGCGGTAACATATCTGCTTATTTGCAGAAGAATCCTAAGACTGAATTTGATTGGTCCATTTCACTCATAATCTGCTCCTTGAATGCAGCAGCTAATCCCACATTCAGGAGACTGGGATCCTTCAGCCTCAGCTCAAGTGTCCTTCAGTCGGACTCTGAAACTTCTCCACTCTCCTGAATGGAATCACTGAGGCTCCGAGGAACGTTACAAAGACAAAAACCAGAATTCCTGCGGGATTACAGGGAACAGAGGGACGTTTTTATGTCTTCAGCTGTGTCTCGGCATCGTGTCCACTGTTGCGGCACTTGTCTCGGCTGACTGGACACACGTGGTCCTCTTCAGACCCTGCTGACACGTCGACAATGGCTGTCAGCACCAGGGTCCTGGAGCTCAGGATCCAGGCTGGAAACGGTCCCAGGAACCGTCACGCAGAAGTGGTCCATGAAAGATTGATGTCGACTACGTGGTCGTCCCATCCAAGTGATGGACGTCCACCCCAGAGACGGAGGTCTGAAGACTTGATTAGTCTCAAAGAGGCCAGTTCTTTTGCTCCATCTGTTAGGTTCCAGATTTCAAGAACGAGTTTTGATCCCATAAAGAAGTAGATCATCAGACTTCCACAAAGTTTGAGGCTTTAAAAGACAAATGTTTTTGACTCCTGTCCTCTCTTTAGTCCTGCATTTTAATTGGTTCTTGATCACCTGTTCTACTGTCTGGACAAAGACAATGTCCTGCGCTTTTTTTTATAAAGGAGAGACCCAGCAGGTGTTGAACCAAAGCTGCCCTCATCACCTACTTATGTATAGATTAATGTCAGTGACACAAACTGAACACTAGGGGCAGCAGTGTTCCCATGAGCTAATATTACTTTTGTTCAGTGACAGTGAGTCACGTCAACATAACATTAATGTATCAAATGAAATGAAAGTCCTGGTTTCACTGCTTCTACTGTAGGTGTTGAATGGACCTGGTCCGGTCTGGGTTCAAGACCCAAACAGGTCTCAGGTCCACATCTGTCTCTGTCTCAGCTGAGACTCATCTGATCCCGTCTCACTAAACACATGCTCCATGAACCTTTGACCTTTAATATCCGCTGGCTTCATTTGTGGAATCCCCCTCCTCCCCTCTTTTACACCCCCACTCTCCGGTCTCTGCCAGGCCTTAAACCAGATCTGCTGAATCTGGACCTGTCCCGTCTTCCTGACTTAATCCTCAATGACCTCAGCTCTTCCTTAAGCAAACACACCCAGACCTGAGACCAACACAGACCAGACTCGCCCACGCAGCCCTCAGAGCCCAGACTGTGAGTCCACGCGTTCAAGTCCAAAAACAGGAAACCTACAAGAGAAGTGTTTGAGTCAAAGCCCGACCAAACACCTGGACTTCAGTGGCACCAGGATCTGTGGAAGTCCAGTGGGACTGGAACCAAAATCTTCACAGATGTGTTTGAAAAAAAAACAAAAAACTGAAGAAGACGGTTCTCAACAAGAGCTCCCAGGACCTGGAGACGAGAACTGACCAGAGACCCTGATACCTGACTTCAGTTGTTGTGTTAGCATGTTGGTAAGTAGTTACAGTTAGTTAACTAGTAACTCATTCTTTCAGTAACATGGGATTAGACCTAATCCTGGTCCATTAAACTGTTTAGATTTGAAATGAATCTGAGATCAAAAGCATCTACAAGGTAATGTTAGCTTCAACAGCTAACAGCTAACAGCTAACAGCGAACAGCTTTGACATCATGGTGTTTTTCAAAGATTTTATGAAACACCTTTTCCAGTGACTTCAGACTACAGTCACAGTGGGGACGTGGCTGTAATCCCTGAGCTGCAGTGGGAGTCACAGGTGAGGAAGATGAAGATGATGAAGATACATTTTATCATCTGTGACCAACAGCTGTGAAATTAAATCTAATCTAAAGTTCAAATCCTTTCATTTCCTTGTTCCTCAGGCGTCTACTCACACACACACACACACACTCACACACACACACACACACACACAATGGCATATTTTTATAATAAAGTTGGACACTTAATCCAATTATTAAAGTACGAAGAGTACAAATTCAATTTCAAATTTAGCCTCTTGTTAAGGAGCTGGTAATGCTCAAACTCCGGCGGCAGGTGGCGCAAGAACAGCGTCATTGACATCAGCTGTTTGTTTAGTTGTTTGTAAATGGATCTAAATTAAATCATAGGTCATTTTATTTGGTTTGTTATGATGGAAGTGATCTGGAAACATTTAGTTCATTGATGTCGTTGTGTTTTTATTTGTATATATGACGCACTTATTTCGAGACATTAGCGGAGTAAAGAAACCTGTAGTAAACAAAGGCTACCACTAGGTGGCAGTGGTTGACAGGAAAGATCATTTCAGACGGGTGGCAGTTCAGGTAATTATCAGCTATAGTTAGTTTTGCCTTGTTGTTAACTGTTGTTATTTTTTTATTGTATCGTTTATGTTGATTTACTTTTTAAAAATCATGTTGTATGTGCTTTTTTTAAAAATGTTCTTAGACAAATGATATGATTTTGTTGCATTTTAATTCATCCTAGTTTTTTTTTCAGTCCAAATTTAAAATCAGAGCAGACACATTTTTTCCAAACATTCATGGAATCCTGTTAAAATCTTTGGAGTGTTAAAATTTCTACCAGACAAAACAAAGAACCAGGATGTGACCTGCGGACAAAGATATTTCCTGGAATTCTCTGACTTACAGGTAGGAGTTTTCAATTGTCTTTAAACTTTTTGACTCACGGCTTCATAAATACATATATTTGACAAACGTAGATTTAAATTCTTTTAAACAAAATGCAACAAAAAAATATGGATTCATTTTTATAAAATGTTTCATTTTTGTACGACCAGAGATCAGAAAAGTCAACTGAGAAGAAAATGATCCTGAGATAAAGGAAATAAAAACACCAATAAAATAAAGTCGTCTTGATGATGATGATTGGCTGGGATTCCTTTACACCAAAGACTGTGGTCGACTTTTTATTTGATGAATTATAATTAACTTTTTGGAAATAAAAAAAGAGATTTTTTTGTGTTTATGGAGCAGTACTGATACTATAGTACAGATACACACACAGTAGTATTCACACTGTAACAGACACACACTCACGTACACACAAACACACACAGCAACAAACAGTTACTTACACACACAGTAACACACGTGCAGTAACACACAGTCAAAGTTTTTCTTCCTGAATCTAAGATCCCTCCTTCTCCCCCTCCTCTCTCTCTCTCCTCTCTCTCTCTCTCTCCTCTCTCTCTCTCTCTCTCCTCTCTCCTCATCTCTCCTCTCCTCCTCCTCCTTCTGCAGCTGCGGCAGTTTCTCTTCTTCATGGGAATTTATTTCTTTAAGCCTGTTTTGTTGTTTTTTTAAACTTTGTTTTCTGTTCGAAAGAATGAGTTTTGTCTGAGGACTCAGAGTGAGGACGCAGTGAACGAGGACGCAGGGAACGAGGACGCAGTGAACGAGGACGCAGTGAGTGAGGACGCAGTGAACGAGGACAGAAGGTAACTCTTTGATCCTTTTTGGTTTAAAGTCATCTTTTTCTCTGTATTGTCGACTTTGTTTTCTCCTCTGACGTTCTTTCTGTTTTTCAAACACTTTCTTTGACTTTTTTTTCTCCGTGATTTTGAAATGTCAGAAAAGTCAGAGGTTTTTTAAAATTGAACTCAAACTAAACTCTTTACTTTATCACACTTCTTATACTTTGATTTATAATCTATACATCAGTATCTGCATGTACTTCTGTGTATTTAGATAAATATAAACATGTCCATATGAGAATTGTTTGACTGCATTATTGTTATTATTATTATTACTGTACAACAGAAATGTTAAAACTACTAACAAATACAAATTATAAAAATGTAAGTTAATCTATATTTATTTAAAAGAGGTGACAATTTTAAATTTAGGAAATAATTAAAACTAAAAACGTTCAGAAAAAATTGTCACATTTATTTTATTTCAAAATAAAAATGTAATATCAATTAAAAATATAGAAAATAAAATTAAATGGATTTCTACAGTTATGATTTAAATCTATTTTTCTTTTATCAGTGTTTCACCTTTGTTATTTTGATACTTCTTTTTTTTTTGATTATCTATGTAAAGGTTTATTTGTTTTTATGCATATCACTGAAACACACAATAGAAATTATTGTTATAATTTTACACCTTAATAAATATTACATGATCTTTATTTTTAACATTATTGTAGCACATGTTAAAATTAAGTTAAAATATTTGTATCTTCCTGTTTTTTCAAGTCCACTCAGACACAAAATCTCACACACACTCAGACTCACTCACACACACTTAAATAAACATCTGTAATTTATTTTATGTTGTTACTTATCCTGTTATTTCTTTTTAAATAAATAAGAATTTGGACAAAATTATTTTTTTATTGTAATTAAATATTTTCATATAAAAAATATCCAAAAACCTGGGGCAATTAAAAAGAATTGATCTTTTTCAGTAAAAGGTTACAAATTTAAGATTTGGTAAATGTATATATGCAGGGACATTTATCAAAAGTTTACTTAATGAGAAAAAAATACTTTTCAGATTTTCTTTAAAGTTTATATTGTATATTTTGTATTTTGTAACTAAATATTTCATACATCTAATGATAAACATGTAATAGAATAGAATTACAATTATTTCAGTAAAATATTTCATTTGTCAGTTTCATAAATTTGTGTTAAATTATTATTTTACTAAATGTCATGTGTTTATAATTTAAATATTTGATCTAAAAACACGGCTTTGAAAATGCTTGATCTTAAATGTTGTTCCATCAGTGGTTTTGAAAATTCTTTCATTTTAAACCATTTCGTCAGTTTAGAACAGATTTCTTTACATTTGACATTTTTCTTTACAAAACAAAAACCTCAAATCAACCGATGTCAGTGGAACGTTCTAGTAGCTTTACTTCACCAGAACTTTGTCTAAACACAAACTCCCAGAACAACCACAGACGGTCACAGCAGTGGTGTCAGGATGAGGTCGAACGGCTACATACAAAAGTCCTTCAAGAAAATCGGTGATTTTGGCTCGTGGAGACACAGCTGTTGTCGACCTGCTGGTTCTTCCATCCCTGACTTCAAATGTGCCGTTTGTTGACGTCACTGTTTCAGTGTCTTTGTTCAGATTGGCTTCAGTCAAACACACCGCTCGTAGAAGTGGACAGTGGAGGAGAAACTCCTGTGTCTTCTCTGCGTAAATCACTGATTTTCTCTATGGACTCTGGTCTGTGAGCTACAGTAAAAGCGCAGATTTTCTCTATGGACTCTGGTGTGGGGGAGTGAGTGTTGGCCCTGGTTAAAGATGATGCAGGAGCTGCGGGGTATTGAGGAACTGAGGAA